CCAATCAATAACAAGACATACTTAGTACGGCTGGGCAACAGATGCAAGAATTGAGTGTTTCACGGCAACCGTATGCTTCTGGATAACTACAATACATAAAAATGTAAACGCCATAAACAATATGGGAAGCGCCGTATCACCCCACCTTTGAAATGAGGGAGTGAATCAGTAGTTGATGATTAGAATGCGATGATAGGGGCTTTGACTTGATGGACAATTTATACTATATATATCACATCTAGTAACTTAATCACGATGGTCGTTGCCGTCCCCCGTAGCTCAGTGATCTCAACCACAGACTGGCAACAGTCGAGTTGCGGGTTCCAGCCCAACCAAGGCCCGATGGGATGCGCACTGCTGACGATTCCCGAAAGGATGAAACGCGCGTACAGTGCTTTTCCGGGCGTGTGACAGCTGTCTGAGTGAGCCTAGATGTGATGAATTTCTTCCTATAATTTATACTTTCTCGGTTGAATCAGTGGCCACACGAATACAGTAATCGAAATATTTAAATAAATGGTACATTCATCGATTGGTAAAACAACATGGAATGTGTACATGTAGTCACAGAATCCCCTGACAGAGAACACGCGGAATCAGAGTTAGGTGTTTTCAAACTAACCAAATTACCCTATCAACCACAACTCAGGTGTGTTTTGCTGTTCAATCTATGCTCCACAAAAAATATAGTCGCAACGCTCACTTATTTCCTTCTCTGATGTACTAATCATACTCGTGACTAAGACGTGGTGAATGGGAGACATTCTTGAGTTCAGCTACCACTTATTCGAAGGTATTGCATTCACTGGCTGTTATAAGACTGGACTAAGTGATGGTTACGTCATCTATGTGTATAATACAATGTGTGCCTGGACGCCAAATGTTACCTCAGAGAATTGATCCAGAACAGTTTTTATAAATGTGTAACTGGATAAAAATCTACTACTTTGGTGCGTAATCGTGCACCCAAATTCCAGTATTGCAGGGACAAATGCATTGCAAGAACAATTCTGTTACGTAGCGGATCAACCGGCCATCTACAAAATGATAGGTGGAGAGTTCAATATGTGGACATCTCAAGGACATAAAGCCACGTGTCTACTAGGCATGCAAGTCTGGTCCCTTTTTACATACATAAGGATGGACCCATGTTTCAGCTTCCACCAGAAAGAATGACACACCTTTGGACTGATATTTACCATTGGCCAAATACCAGCTGTTCGACGTAGTGATCACAGGTGTGATGGTGGCCAAAACCTAGGGCGAATGGAGTCGTTGCGATACCGTTGGGCCGGCAGCCAAGCAGTCGTCACAGACGAGAGGGTCCGGCCAGGCGCAAAGGTGAGACAGGGTGCCTTCGAACAGCTGGGAAGCGGATTGGTCCGCCGACCCGCGAGTATTTGGCACACATCTGAGTCCAGGTTAACAACATGGTCCACAGTGATAGCTGACGGAGCATCAACCAAATGGACGGATGGCCAAGCAGATGCCCCCCCATGAGAGCCGATCCTGCAGTCTATCCCGGGTGGCAACAGCAAGGCCCAGTGTAACTATAGACAAGTTCGGTGTGGATCGACCCGTCTGGAGAACGAGCACGAACCAATGGCATGTATCTAACGATGCTGTGAGTTTCTTTGTCCCACCCCATCCCTCTTAGCCTCCCCCTGCAACCACTATCCCGTTATTTAGCATGTTATAATTTTGCATAGGAAACTACTTTTTTGCTGCATAGTAGCCGGCTGGTAGCTTACCGGAACGATGCCAATCCGTTACCGGTAGCTCAGCTGGCTTGCACCTGCTGCATTTGATTCCCTTTTTCCTTTTATGTATTGCGGCACATTAGCTGAGGTGTTTCCCACCACTAGCAAACGTGTATAGTGTGTGTGTGTGATGTAACGGACGACAGCAGAAAAGTGGTTATGCACCCTATAAATAACCTCGAATTTGTTTAATAACTAGTTTGTGATCGCCACCGACTACATTTTTGTTTCCCGGATGGCTACACGATAACGCTGATCCGTTATTATTCAGCAATCCCACCCGTATCCAAATAATCACAGCGTCCAAGTCAAAAATGCATTCAGGGGCACTATAAATAGGCTGATTGAGACTCGTTTGCTACCTTACTGAGGTATGCTCAGTAGGGCCTCCTCATCGATGACCCACAAGTCGCAGCTTGTGCTCTCTATAATAACATGAAACTCTGTCTTAATACACTGGCTGCTATCATTCATGATGCAACACCGTAAGTTGGTTACATCGCTGAAGCTGTCTACGGACACCAAACAAATCGCTGATAAAAACTGGCCCTCGGTACAAAAACCTTTAACTGACCAGTCTTTTGAAGCGCAAAACTACCAAACGTAACCAAGGAACAAGTTCACTCGTAACATTAGACGGTTGCAACGTAACTGACACGGATCAAACTAGCGAAGTGTTTAACCAACATTTCTCCGCCTTCTTCAACGTGAATGTTGAACCCATAAGCTTGATCTTGCCACCAGTCACAGTCGATAAGCTTAACTGTATTAGGTTTGACCTGCATGATATACACCAACGTGTCAGGTGCAAAGATCAAGGAATTTCGGCGGTCCAGAAAATAGTCTCCCGGTAGTTGTGAAATTCGGCGGACACGAGACCCACTGCTATTGCTAAGTATGCTCAATCTATTTATGAGCTCTGGCACGGTGCCAGCTCAGGGAAAGAAGTCATAGTTTTGCCGAGCTATTAATCAGCCACCCTGTTCAAGACTAAGAATTATTACTCAATAACTCACACATCTATTCTACCAAAATTACGGAGCGACATGTCAAAGGTAGAACGGCTAAATTCCTCTTATCAAGAAGTTAATAAACAACTCACAACACGTCTTCTTGCATACTCGGTGTTGCGTAGAGTGTCACCTGGAATTCCGAAATCATCTAACTGTCTCACATGACCTTGATATGCCGGCAACTCTAAATTACCTCGACATACCCAAGGCCCTTGATCGGGTGCCTCATGACCTCGATGAATTCGAAAATAAACTATTCATTTATTTAATAGCTAAAATTATGTCCTACGGAATCGGAGAACCGCTGTTTTCCTGGATTAGGTCATACAGATCGAACGCGGGTGGAACAAGTTCAAAAGCACAAATCCTAGCCTACACCTGTCATCAGTGGTGTGATACAAGGCAGTGTCTTTGGGCTACTACTGTTCTTAATATACGTTAAAGATATCTTCGACGTAATAACATTCAGCATACCTCTTCGCCGATGACATCAAAAAAGAATACACTTTCCGTTCGGATGCCGCCAATGTTGTTAACGTGATCCAACTCGACCATGTGTTTGGAACCTGGTGGTCAAAATGGAAAATGTCTTTCTCTGCAGACAAATGCTGTGCAATGTCCTTCAAATGGGATCTGACTCATGGCGCCCTGACACTTGATGGCAAGCCAATCGATTCTTGTGGTATGATGCAGGACTTGGATTGCGATATTCACCCTCAATTGACTTCTGTGAACACGTAGGTTATGTTACCGCGAGGGCAAGACAGAACATTGGATTGATGTCCATGACTTGCTCACAGAAAGATTCAATACTTCATACTTATATATATATCACTTGCTAGGCTCACGCTGGGATATCGTTCAATGGTGAATAGGATTTCAAAAAAGCGCGACCGCGTTGCACTGGAACAAGTACAGAGAGTATACACAAAACGCCTTTTAAGTCCGTCCTCAAAACTGAAATATTCTGGACGATTTGATAAGCTAAAGTTTGATTTGCTCTAAATACGGCGCATGAAGTACACCCTTGCAATGTTTTTCAACATATTGCACGAACGCATGCATGTTTCCAACCTTGGCATGCCATTCAAATACCATCAGCCGTTTACAACACACGAAACAAAGAGAACTCAGTGGCGGATTGCAAGTCCAGGACCAGCAGCGCTGCGGACAATTTTCTGGAATCTGGAACAAGCTACCATCCGAAGTATATATGCCTGCATTCTTGAGCATGAATTTCGTAAATGCATCAACAAGTTCTTGATTGTACATGACCTGTTTAATCTATTCGGTTGTACCGTAACAACAAGACAAGCGTACGAGCGGGGTCAAGGTTTCAGATGACCCAGTATTGGGCTCGTGACTATAATCCTTTATGTGAGCTAGCGGTTGAAAGTCGGCCAGAATTGCAGTCAACTAGTCTGTGTTATTGCTGCGCTTGCAAACTTCATTAACTGAGCTGAATTTTGAATTTCGTTATACATATGTAATCAATGTTTTATACAAGACCGCACTTAGCCGATCATGCCGATACAGAAGTGTCTCTCTTCGTCAAAATCAAAAGTTTATTTGCATGTTTACTCAACTGAACCGACTGACGTTATACAGTATTTGGTTCTCGGGGAACTGCAACTAACCCACCACCCAAAGCACAGCTATTACAACGAGACGTGCGTTAGTTCAACCACGCGTCATCCAAGCTTGAGTAACTGAATTTGAATATGGATGCTATTGCGGAGACGCTTCATGAGCGGTTGCTCGCCTGACTGGTGGAGTTCTTGACAAGACAACTTAGGCCAAAAACCCGACATAGGCGCGAATGAGTGATGCAGAGATCAAAGTATGCGGGTAAACGGCTGTCCATTGGAGAGTAACCGTTTAGGTCTGGTATAGTTAATGTTTCCAGCAATCCCAAAGTCAATTTCGTGCGTGTATATCCTAAAGTTACGCGGATAGCTATGCATCACCTGGGGAACAGCATACATCCGTGATGGTCACGAAATGTGCAGAAGCATTTAGTATCACTCGATCAGCGCAATAGTAACTGGATTAAGCTATTTGGTTTTAAACAGTGGTCTCCATGCAACTTCGGAAGTTGCAGAGAGGAAAGTACATAACCTGGACTGGGCGCGCATCACACAAATGATGCTAGTCAGTAATAGCTTCCAGTCGAAAACTGTGGAACGCAATGATCCTCGAATGTCGTCGTCAAAATCTGTATCAGCTTCCGAGGAATGTCAATAGCTGAGGGATCAACAATGAGTAGTGGGAGAGCAGAAATCGATGCAACTTTTTAAAAAAATGCACGTGGAATTAAGTACATGCAAAATTTGGAAACAAATTCAAACGAGGACAGCTGTACATAAACGGCCTACCACTGGCCGTGGTCGCCCCAATGACCATCTGGCCGGGGATGTTTGTGCCGTAGTTCCGGAGGCAAAGGCCCCGTCATTGGGAGTGAGGGAGGGGGACGTTTGTGGGGTGGGCCAAAGTTCATACCGGGTTCAGGATAAAATTTATCTTGAGGTGGTGGTGGAAATCTGGGCGGAGGTCTACGGGGTACGCCATGTGGTGGATAGCCTTGAAAACGGTTCGGACCATCTTCCGGCCAGCTTCTATCCCAGGGTTCATCGGTACTGGATTCAGGAAAATGGCGTTTACGCTCTTCCGGTGGGTAATTGTCAGATCGAACATCATATGGAAACCTCTCAGTGTCAGGCGGAAAACCACGATGTGGTCCTACAGGAATTCTATCATGACGAATGGGTGGCTGGTGTGGGCGACCAGGATGGTTAAAGCTGCCATGGTTAAGTGGGGGACGAGTGAATGGAGCAGGAGGTGGACCGGGAGGGTGTAAGTTTGGTTCTCTCCGCTCAAAATCCCTATAGTCCCTGTCTTCCATATGTCTTGTAAACTCTTCACGTGCTTGTTGGATGGGTGGTTGTTCAAATGGTTCTCTGTTGGCTAAGTGAGGCTTTAAACGTGGAGGCTGTCCATGATCGCTGTTCGAGTCAGGTGGGTGAACCGCTTCAAAGTTGTCTTTCCAATTAGCTGATTAGCGAGAACAAAACGGAAGAAAAGCGGCGAATGAAAACGAAAATGATGAACACGATAGAAAAGTAGGTGATCGGAAGGATGCAAATTGCAACGTGAGAAATGACATCAAAGGAGATCGCTGCTATAATTGTGGATTAGTCGGAGGAGACTCCCGTTTGCGAGAGTGGCTTGATTGCCGGAAAGAAGACAACCGTAGTCAGTATGTGAAATCCTAGATCACGATTGGAACGGATCGAAAAGTCACGAGTTAAGGAAAATCTGAAGATAATGGGGCGATGCATTTGTCAGGCAATGTTTTGCTTTCGACACCAACGCTTAGTAATGTCAAGCGAAGCGAAACATAACTAGTGAGGTAACAGAAAAAATGCCGGCGAGTCAAATACCGATATTAATGGGAGACGAGTTAGCATACCAATTACATTAGTAAATCCAGCGGAATATTATCAAGGAGATCACAGAACCCCGGATAATCTAATAGAATGATGGGATGGGGTACGCTTAACATTTGAAATAAGATGGCGGGTCTAAAGATGCATGACACTGTGAGGGACTGAAGAGAAGCAGATGTATCATCGTCTATAAAGATGGGGCACAAAAGGCTTTATTTTATCGGAATTAATAAGATAACAAGCAAAAGGCAGGATAATGTTGTCTAAAGCCACCACATGTTACCAGATGTACTCATTAAAGGTATACACAGTAGAACATAGATACTCAAAACGAGAGGGGTGAATGTGTTTGGGTGAATCGCAAAAGTACCACTTTCGTCAACAAGTTTCACTAGGGCACAGATGAATGCTGTTGAAAAGTTTGTTTAGACAGTAGCTCCATATTAATAATGAGGCTCGATGGAGCCTGGTTGATAAAACTGTAGTTTAAGTCAACATAAGCCTTACGCACCCGAGTGCGTACATTTCCAGCTTGTTACCATATCTAATGCGGGCGTGCTAAAATATCAGTAAAAATGCAAAATTGTATAAATGTAAAATGGTATTAAAAGCATAAATGTTATTCGAATAAACGGTCCCGATATTGCACACGGTTGACAGTACAGAGTCTAGGCTGTTTATCAAATTAAACGAAAGCGCTCAAATTAGAAAACGCATTCCGATAATTTCGCGTAGTACAAGCAGCATCTTAAAGCCCATTTTCAAAACGTTAGCGGAGGATAGCATTAATAACCTTGTAACTAATCTAACCAAAGAAAATGTCCAAAATACTTAGTGAGAACTGATAAATTCGTGGAAGATGAAGTAAGAGCGAAATTTCAGTGAACAAGCAACTGCCGATCTAAAGGTCTTACAATGTTGCAGCCACCGACGACAGCCTTGAATTCAAACATGTGCGTACTGTACAAACATGCTATAGAACATCACATTTGGATAGCAGTCACTCTGTACTTAGGGATGCACTAGTCTATGACAGTGCGGACGAAGTAGAATTCGAGTAGTGCCGTGCGGGTGAGCTATTATACCAAAAGTCAACTACATTTATGTAAATGTTACCGCTTTTTGGTGCAATCGAGATTCAGGAGTAGGAGGAGGAGAACAGATTTACGCGCGCACGCGTATATGAGGCGATTGCATGGGATGCACTTGCAGGATTATACAAACATACATCAAAAGCAGTGGCAACAATGTGCTAGCAGCGATGTGTGCCAGGATCTCACTATGGAACAACCAACAAATGTGTGAGGTGAGGCGAATCCAGGGTTCACAAAGCACAGGGTTTCTTACTGCGCTCGCGACCATACTGGACCTTAGTGATGATGGTGCTTTTAGCGCCTTCAGAGCCACTCATACCAGATTGGTCAATGCATAGAGGCTAGACAAACTCAGTCACCTGGCCCTCCCGATTCGGGGTTGCAGTAAAAGTGGCCACTTATTTCATGTGCCAAAACCCCGCTGCCTTGCGGTTAGGTTGTTGAACCAAAGGCTTTGGTTGAGAACCCAAATCGTTCTCCTGTCTAGGCCTGGACAACCTGGCAGTATCCTGCACGTGCAACACAACTCTATGAACTTCCCTCCACACGATTTCTTGATGCCGTCGCAGAGGATAATAAACGGCGCCCCATCTGCTGCATCGAGCAGGGTTTGGGTGCTCCTACTAAAGCCTTTCTGTGTTCTTATGCAACTTGTCACGCTTTTTCATTTTTATCGTCCCGCTCCAATTTCATTTTCCCCCCTGTTTTCAACCCCCCCCCCAATTCCTGGCCCTCTCGACTTGTTTCTATAGTCACTTGTCTTCTATATCATTTCTCAATTGCTTGCATCTTTAACGCACTGGCTTTCATCACTGATGCAGAACCTTGCATTCTTAGCGCAAAAACCATGGTCCGATAGTCACGAAAATGGCATCCACGACAGCTGTCCGCTCGCATCAAACGGACACCTCGTTTGTTCACTTAACCCTTCTACCTGAAACCGTTATGACTCCATTCACAACGCGTTCGACCAAGCCAGGGGGCATGATTCAGTGTTCCGTACATGTTCACTCCTACGTCTGCGTGTGTCCAGAACTGTGCTAACTTCGCTTAACCTCCACATCCCAGGCTTTGGGGTTTGGAACCAGCTCAAGCTCCTGCTTCCACCCCTTATTGTCTAATGCTGGTGTACACATAGACTAGTGGATGGCTTGCGAGAACAAACGAGATATCCGCTTGAGGCGAGCGGACAGCTGACTCACTGAGGGTGTCGTGGATGCAATTTTCGTGACCATCGGAGTGCAGATTTTGCGCTAAGGATACAAGTTGCTGCACTACGGATGAAAGCTACTGCGTTAAGGTCATTGGGCCTCTACACAGTTTCTGGAACTTATGGATGCTTGCCGACGTATTTCTGACTGGAAGCGAATACAATGTGACTCGCAGAAATCTCAGGGCAAAACTGCGTGCTAGCCTAAAGAGAGACCGCAAAGTTTGGTGGTCTCATCGTGCATCGGAAATGGAAACAGCCGCTATCGTCAGTAAGCATGGTCAGTTATTCCGTCTGATACGGGAAACGGGCGGCAGGAGACCAGGTAGCGAGACCACAAGCGACGAGAGTGGACAGTCGATCCACAGCTTGTGAAAACGTTTAAAGCGTTGAGCCGAACATTTTGAGAAGCAGTTCGATCAATCAGTTGTTGGCTTCTCCACCGGCCGCTGATCGCCCTACACACTGGGCCGTCCCCGTGGAATCGCCCTCACGTACAGAAGTCGAACGTGAGATCAGACTTTTGAAACTGAATAACACTGCAGGGGTAGATAGAATTCCTCCAACGCTCTTCAAATTCAGGGGAAACGCTTTTGCAGATGAGTTGCACAATTTACTAGTGAAGCTGAGGGAGCAAGAAACAGCACCGACAGACTGGAGCCGCTCCGTTATAGTCCCAATTTTCAAAAGAGGCTCCCATTCAGAATGGGGCAATCATAGAGGGATCAGTCTGATCTCGATTGCCTCTAACTTGCTTGCGTCTGTCGTTCTCCACAGACTGACTGACATTCGCGAAAGTCAGATTCGCGAGGAGCAAGCCGGGTTTCGTCGAAATCGGGGATGTATCAACCACATCATTAGTTTGTGCCAATTGTTGGAGCACCGCTATGTTTATTGCCGACCTACCGTTGTAGTGCTTCTCGACACCAAAAGTGCCTTCGATTCGGTGGATCGATGTGCCCTTTGGGACTGTCTGCTGGGGGAAAATGTGCCCGAGAAATGCGTAAACATTATCAAAGCGCTGTACGCGCACAGTTCGGACAGAGTGAAGATTTATGGTAAACTGCCGCCCTTCAGTATATCCAGCGGTGGGAGACAAGGTTACCCGCTGTCACCTTTCATCTTTAACCTCGCAAATGACGAAGTCATGGAAATAGTGTTCCCTGGACATGACTTAGAATGTGTGGAGCTGCTTTCTGGTAAGCGACTTCTTGACCTGTAGTGTGCTGACAGTATTGTTCACATGTGACAGCGCTCAAACATGCCAAGTAACACTGGGCAGATTAGCACTGACTGTCAATTGTTTTGGGTTGTGCTTTGCTCCCTCGAAATGCAGTTCTTCTCAAAGACTGGCATTGACCTACCCCTGCGCTGAGCCTCGGTGGTGATGAGCAAGAAGTCTTTCAGGAATTCGAGTACTTGGGCACCTATATTAGTGTATGTAGGATCGAAGATGAGGTTACGAACCGTATAGCACAAATTCTAGGTGCTTTTGCCAATCTACGCCATCAGTGGCGTCGACATGACATCACCCTCGTCCTGAAGGTCAGAGTTTACAATGCAGCCGTCCGTTCAACCCTCCTATACCTTTGTGGAACCTGGCCCATCGGGTCGACAGACATAAAGAGGCTAGCTGCATTCGACCATGGCTGCCTTCGCAGCTTAGCTCATGTCTGGTGGGAGCACCGCGTAAGCAATGAGCGTGTTCGGCGTCGTGTATTTGGTGCAGGAAAAGCGACCGCTCAGCACCAATATATCACGCACCAGGCTCCGATGGCTGGGCTACGTGTTGAAAATGCCAGCCCACTCACTCGCGCGACGTGCACGGTTTGCGCGTCCTGGGTCTGGATGAAAGAGGAGGGAGAGGAGAGGAGGAGGGGAGCAATGACTTGGTCAATAGGAATGAAAACCCTCACTTCCAAGTTGGTGTCGGTTGGTGTATCCCGACTGCCTGGCTGGAGTCCGAAAGTCGATCAACACGTTTGGTTGGACACACTTGCTGACATGCTAAGATCCGGCTCCAATGGCGTTTGTGTTGTATTATATTACTTGTTTTTTGAATTGTTTGCAGTGCCATTTTTTACTATCATATCTTTTTTGTACTACGCACATTAGCTGAGGCGTGTTTCTCATCCTCAGCTAACGTATATTGATGATGATGAGCATGAAAACCGGAAAAGACTCACATTGAGTTTCACAACACTATCATGCAAAAACATTAGGTACAAGGATAAAGTAACAACACAAGTAATGTGTCTATAAAATATAAGCTATTACGTAGCATAACCGACATGCAAGGTCACTCACCGGGCGTTTCTCTCGTCTCTCCGCGGATTCCGACCGGGTTTATTGTATCTGTATCCCTCTGAGGCAACAATGTCTCTGGAGGTGCTGGAGGTTGACCTAGGTAGTTCATAGGACGCTGTGGCCTAGTGCAAACACCTTGGGAATGGTCATTTGGCGGTTTAGAGGTGACTGGAATGGGCTCAGGCGCAGGTGATGGTGCGGGCCGTTCTTTTGTAACCGATGGAGGGGGTTTCAGAGGAGGTAAATACTGCGGCGTACTGGTCAGGTCGGAGACTGCGGCCGCGGCAGCAGCAACGGCAGATACGATCTGAGTGGGGTTCGGAGCCGGGGGCATCATCATCACCGTTGGCATTGCAGTGATGCGTGTACTGGCCCAGTTTGCGGCAAATTCTTTCGGTATGGTTCTTGTACTACGAAGCTTGCTCCCACTCCGATCGTCGTTATCATCCATACCATCGTTTACATTTAAATCGGTTACAGCTCCCTCGTTTAGGCCAGGGATCTCAGTAACAGATAGATCATCTGGATTACTGACAAAGGCCAGCTCTTCAACTGCTTCCACAACAGTCCCAGTGAGAGTGAACTCCTGTGTAGATTTCAGAGCATCGTGTGAAGAAGTCAGATGATCCAGTGCATCTGCTTCCGAAGCAGTGGGACCGTGGGTTAAAATTATACCTTCTGTGTTGGAACCACTTAAACACTCCTTCAGCACTTCACCGGGACGACTACGAGTCCAAAATTTACTGAAAAGTACCGCAAATAAGAAAGAGCACTCTTGTAATCACAACAAACGCAGCAAATAGAATGACATCAGCAGCACAATGAAAAGCTCACATAAATATTGTTCAACTAAGCGTGAAAGTGCCGAGCCGTGACTCCAACGCGATGCGCTGTGAGCGTTCGATATAGGCTAGAGAACAAAGTAAACGAGAACAGCGTCCACTTAAATTCATCAGAATTTCCGCATGTATGCATGCTTAATTTGGCTAAGGCAACCATACGGCTCCAAGGTGGGGAGTACCACAAGGCTCGGTTCTTGGACCTCGTCTATTCTTGGTGTTCATTAACGAGTTGGCGAGATCAATGGCTTCCGATTTCCTATTTTTCGCGAATGATATCAAGATATGGCGAAGGATCAAAGGACCGGACGACCACAAACGGCTTCAGTGCGATCTTAACACAGTGTCGAACTGGTCAGTACAAAACGCCCTACCATTCAAAGTAGACAAATGTCGGGTTGTACAATTACGCCATAGACATAAGTACACATATTCGCGTGGGACAAACGGATTGCAGACAAGCTCCCAGGAATGTGACCTTGGTGTGCTCGTAAAGAGCGACCTCAACTGTTCAAAAGAGGCTGAGGTAGCTGCGAAAGAGACAACCAGCACGTCGGCATGCTGCGAAGGGCATTCGGGAGATATGACCCATCAATCTTCCCAATGATACACAACTCCTACGTGTGCCTGCATGTTGAATACGCTATCGAAGCTTGGCAAACTTGGTTGAAGCGCCACCTAGAGGCGTTAGAGGCGCCACAACGAACAGCAACAAAGAATGTAAAGGGCCTGCGCTATCACTCTTACCACCGAAGGCTGAAGTTGCTGGGAATTTTCAGCGGACGCCATCGAACGCTACGCGGCGATCTCATATTAGCGTATCAGATATTGAGTGACCCCAACCACGTATGCCGCCATTTGCTGAAACTTAGCCACAACACGCAGCTAAGGGGTAACTGCATAAAATTGAAGGAACAATATGGCTGTCTAGAGTGTCGACGGAAGTACTTTTTCCTTCGGGTTTGCCAACCTTGGAACGCACTCCCAGACTCAGTTGTATCCTCCCCTGGCTTGGACGTTTTCAAAAAAACTATTAGACGTTGCTCTTAGCTCCCAGTATTGTGTTACCTAAACTCCTCCATTGTGGATTACGCCAAGCATGCTTTCCTACAGGAGTTATTTATCAAATGGACCCAAGTGAGCGACCATATTTTACTTTTCCCAAGCCTTATATCAACGGTCACTGCACCCCATGTATTTCTGCACGTTTATGCTCGATTCTTGTATTATTTTACACTGATGCAATTTATCAAAGTATTCATCTCGGCAGACGTTCGGTAGATGACCCACATATATTTTGATCTCATCATATTCACCCTAACCATCATACGGGACGTTTCAAGCACTTCTTTTTATCCCGTGATAAATCATTGTTCATTGTTCAAAGGAACCTTGGTGATAGTTTGATTCCGTCCATACAATGACTCACGTTTATTCAATAAGTCATGTACCCATGACAAATTAGCGCCGCCGACGACCTACAGGCCCTTCTGGCCCGAGTTGAAAGGGTTATTAAATCAGATGCTAACTACGAGATGAGCGCTGAGCTATAATATTTTAACTTTGTGCATATTGAGTATAGTAAGCGTTGCAAAGACAAATGGAACATAAAAAGCAAACGAAAATATCTGAGTCGTCCGACCAGTGGCTGGGGATAAAGACACTGTGAGACTGGTTCTGGATTTCGACCATGCTATGTCAAATAAGGTTTTCAGTAGTTGAACGGCGGGCGTCACGATTCCACTCGGTAAGGTAAAACAGCAACGAGACTCAGGCTTTCGATCAGTCTATGCAAGGCTGTGTCATGTCAGTAGCCTGTGGCTTGATCCAACTAGGTAAATGCTCAGCGAAGAAGAGGTACCACAACTAGCGCAGACGAAGAAAGGATATCAAGTTGTCGATCCACAGTCAAGTAACTATCTAGCAATGACCCAGCCAGAGGGGATAACTGTTTCGTAAGTGCAAGGCAAGCAGGCTGCTCGTGACATCAACATACCAGTCATACTCCGGCACAAGCAGTAATGCTTGTCGGCTCGCAGTGTTGTATACCTTGTCGTTAATCCGTACGCTAGAGGCTCTCCGCCTCCAGGTGTTGATATGCCCCTGTTAGACGCGTTTTGATATCCTCGGCTAGTAAGCTTCAGAGAAGAGAACGCTACGTAGGCGAATGAACTGGTAAATTACCAGGATTTTTGCTAAATTGATGTAAACAAATAATGAGTCCGTTGAGTCTCGAGACCATCGAAGGCGCAACGTGCATGCTGGGCTGACTAGCACTCCATGTCATTGAATTTCACAACACTCCGTACGGAACTTGGGTCCGTTTAGCAACATAGAACCAAGCTTCCTTGAATCGATAACGAGTACATAAGATCGTGGTAGGTTGTAGAAGGAAGTAAACTGTAAAAAAGTCATTCATATAATGGCGCTCGCGGTGGTCTTAAATGCACTGACTGTGATTTGTCGGTAAACAAAATTATACTTTTTTACAGCCTAGAAGATTTGAAGCACTAGGTGAAGAATGGCGCTAGATACACGTGGAGTTGTTAGAATCCACAATGTGGTCGCCCTTGGAGGATATTCGACCGAACAGCTACGCGATTACTTGACCGAGGAACTTGATGGGGAAGTAAAGTGCGTAGAAGGAGTGTGGTGACAAGAACTTGCTCGGAGGTGCGTTTTCCACGGTCGAACCACGCACCTCTTATTGGTAGACCATAGCGCGTATCCCGTCACAAAAGGGAGATTTATTTCCACGTTATCCCAATTATCGTCTTACAAGAGTTAGGCGATTAACGAACAGCAAATGTGCAACCAGGGGGTACGACGCAGCAGACAGAATGATTATTTTAACGATGCATGACGATCCATGTAGGCTGTGAACGCAGATTGATGGCGGGTTCATGGTTGTACGTTAGCAGGGATATTGTCAGGGCGCCCGAGCCTAAAGAGAACGACTACGATCCTTAACCAAAGCATTTCGCCCAAAAGTCTGACCGGTAGGCAACATGCGATATGGAAACGCTCCTGTTTTGCGGGAAAAGCTGTCACCTAGGCTTCAATCGTCAACGCAGAGAGCCAGTAGATTGTGTTCGTATGTTCGGTAACCACCGAGTATTCTGATAGGAGTAGCTCTCAATGAGCCTTAGAGAACCACACAGTATAACTCACTGGGCCAAAGGTATACGCCAGGGATTGAAACGTGACTTTTCCGACACCGCAAAAGTATAGCCAACGGAATAGGGAAGGCAGCTGATGTGGATGAGGGGCAGAAACTTGTAACCAAAAATTTGTCGAGGAGCAGTACTCTCGTTAGGAGGTCGGTTCAACTTTGGTGGACGAAGTGTGTCGATTGGAAGCAAATACCACGTGAAGACAATGTAAGGATGAGAACTCTTTAAGTCTATGCGAAGCGCGTTACCACATATGACAGGCTCGTGACCACACCATGTTCTCAGTAGGTTCTGGGCTGGATTACTCCCTTTCAAACTGAGCCCCATATAAAAGCATTTGCCAGAGTAGAACGCAGCTGATTTCAATGACACCAGGTGTGATGGTAAGATGCCACACTGAGTATTCCGCTTGTCTATCATACGGTCGAGCTTAACAATTTTGGGCCAAACGTCTGAAAGCTGATCGATCGCTAAAGAGGCGAACTGAAGAATAGTACGTAATCGATTTAGATCGACATGAACAAAACTCGAACGCTGGTCAAGAATATAATAGCAAGAAGATGTGTTATACATCTGTGAGTGGTTCTAACTGACTCGAGATATAAAATGAGCTTGTGTTCTAGGAATAATAGATTTCTGATCGAGGCCCAGACTTTGGTCTTTGATTCACGGAGGGCCACAAGACACCAGATATTACACTATCCTCTAGGATTTAACTCCAATAGTTAAAATGAAAGTGAAGGTAATATGTCAGACATTTGATTTGAGGATATAACATGCTAAAACAGAAGTGAGTGCAAGAATGGGCGTTTCCAACAAAACGTATCAACGGACAAAACATAGATGTTCTCAATGCGAATTAGTTGCAACTACCAACAGTCAGATCCCGGATTCTAGGGTCACAGAAGGGCAGATGGAATGCGCACTATTAACGAATCCCGAAAGAATGAATCCACCGTCCAGTGCTCTTCTGAACGTGCATTGGCTGTCTGACCGACTGATTGTGGCTGTGGCGAATCTCCATCGAAAGTTAATTCAAACATAACTTCTCACTACTCTAAAAACAGTCGACTAGCCGCACGTGGGATCGTAGTCCAAAACCCTATGGTTTACCCATATCCATAGGCCATGAGGACGTCGTACATTGGTCAAATCTTCTGATGACTAAATGCTTGTTTCAGACGTGACAGTTTTAAGTGACGAGGTACCAATGAATAAAGAAAAAAATTCCACTGGTGTGCTGTACAAAGAAAAACTCACGTCGCAAAATCATTTGCTCCGGATACCAAGATGTGCCCAAATGGATGCCAGGCGAGGCTCCAGATCATACTTTCGTGTGCATTTTCTACAGCGCCAAGTTCTGTGTCTGTCCTGAAAGTGGTCAAAATAACTGTATCATAATAGGCAAAATAGAAAAACATTGAACTAGGAATTACAACGTTGGATGACCGACAACTTCAGTGCAATTTCAAACGTCAGCCAGACAGGGCGGTTCGGGTGATGAAGCCGAACAGTTTCTTTGACAGCAAGTTATCAACTGTGGTTAGTCTAGGAGCCCAATATGCTGCGACGGAAAGAATCAGAAAATAAGGAAACATTCTGTAGTGGTGGCTGGTTATTTGGGCAAAGGGGATGGACGCGGCGTAGGCAGACAGAAAGCCAGTTGCAGACAACGCCAGCAGACCATGCTTGCATGAGACGGAGAGAAAAATCAGATTTGATTAAGCGCAGAGTGAAGAAGGCATAGCGCTGCTACGAACAAAAGCAAGGCGGGCCAGACGGACAATGTAGAAGTGACGTGGCCAAGCATGAGTCAAAGTGGAGGTGGCCGTAGACAAAGCAAAAGTGGATTGGAAAGAGCAGAGCGCACGGACCAAGGAACACAAGCAGATGGCAAAATGGAAAGTTACCAATGTGAAGCCGTCGCGAATAAATAGCACCCCTAACACCGTACAATATAAATGGCGTTTCACTTTACGAATAACAGATTTGATCGTCACCTAGACTTTGTTTTGACTTTTGGAGGGCTGCACCACACCTCTCAAACAATTCAGATGGCTTGAGCGATACTGTCTCTGTATCCCATATGTTTGAGAACAAACCTGTCGGACTTGGAGCTAGAAGACGGTGAGAACGCGCAAAAGATCGCTGGTAGTAGAATCCGCTCTGCACGAGCTAAGGCAAGAGAATAGTGGATGGCTATTAGGACAGCCTCAACTAGGGAGCAAGTTTGATGCAGGAATTGAGAAAAATTTTAAGTAATACAAGAATGTAGATAGAAATTGGGTATTGCCCACCCGAAAACACTGCACAGCCACGACGCGTTTCGATGTAATTTTCATCTCATCAGGTGGAGACAGCAGGATTTGAACCCACGACCATTGGAATAGCAGCCAACACTACTACCCCTTTGGCTACCGGGTCACAATGGGCAACACATTTTGTCACAACGGTAACTGACTAATTGGAGGGTCAAGTTTGGATTACACGTTGTGTGATTGGATTGCGACACGCAACTATGGACTGTGATTCACATTGAAATGAACCTTAGTCACCGCGATCACTGGGACCGTATTCAAAGTAGATAGAAATTGGGTATTGCCCACCCGAAAACACTGCACAGCCACGACGCGTTTCGATGTAATTTTCATCTCATCAGGTGGAGACAAAATGTGTTGCCCATCGTGACCCGGTAGCCAAAGGGGTAGTAGTGTTGGCTGCTATTCCAATGGTCGTGGGTTCAAATCCTGCTGTCTCCACCTGATGAGATGAAAATTACATCGAAACGCGTCGTGGCTGTGCAGTGTTTTCGGGTGGGCAATACCCAATTTCCATCTACTTTGAATACGGTCCCAGTGATCGCGGTGACTAAGGTTCATTTCAGTGTGAATCACAGTCCATTATATTGAGGTTGCGTGTCGCAATCCAATCACACAACGTGTAATCCAAACTTGACCCTCCAATTAATACAAGAATGTTTTTGGAGTAAAATGAACTGTTTCCTGGAATTTCTGAGACGCTGTTCCAGATAATTGGAGTTAAAAAATGCATGACAAAAGAAATACATCCGTATGGACGCAAACATTGACACAGTCGAGTAAATGCCTGAGTTAACATAGCATCTAGTTTAACGTCAGCCTCTTCGCTTCAGTCCACGTTACCTGATTTTAATTTAGTAATTATGTCGTGATGGTTGCTGAACATCGGTCGTTTCGATGCGAGAACTCTAGTCTGTGAGACAACTATCCGTATACTGCTGTTTGCTGACGACTGTGCGTTGTTTGCACACAGCGCGGATGAGTTGTAGCACATGACTAGTGCTCTGGCTTCGACAGCGGCCAAATTCGGGCTCACCATCAACACAAGCAAAACTGTCTGTCTCTTTCAGCCTTCACCGGAGGTGCAATCTGCAATATTGCTGCAAATCAGCATTGGTGCTGAAGTATTGGAAATCACTGCCCGCTACTGCTATCTTGGGAGTGTGATGTCGACTGAGCAGCAGCTACACAGTGAGCTTCGTATCCGCGTCTCGAAGGCAGCGGCGGCATTCGGGAAGCTAGAGTACCGAGTGTGGAACCACCATCAGCTAACCATTGGCACGAAGCTGATGGTGTACAAATCCATGGTGCTGTCCGTTCTTCTATACGGCAGTGAAACGTGGACGATATACCGGCGGGATGTGCGATATCTCGAGCGGTTCCATCAACAGTGTTTGCGACGGATTCTGCGCATCGAATGGGGCGACAGAGTTGCGGACACGGAAGTGTTGCGTCGAAGGGGAATGTATGCAGTGGACTGCATACTTTTGCTAAAACACCTGAGGTGGATCAGTCATGTGTGGCGTATGGATTCGACGCCGATACCGAAACAACTATTATATGGTCAGTTGAGTATTGGGAAGAGGCATGTGGGGAAACCAGGACATCATCAAAGTGAGCTTCTCACGTCCTACTCTTGGTTGCTGATCATGGGAATAGAAGGCGGTTGATTGGCGTGCATGGCGCGATCTGATCACGAAGGCAGTTGCCGAAGTGCGGGAGAAAGACCTCATACATGCAGAGAGGAAGCGGCAAACACCAATGGGTTGTACTCCATCGACATCGAGCGCATGATGCTGTAGCACATGCGGTCGCGAGTACCTGAGTCAGGCAGGCCTAGTGAGCCATGAGTGAGGCCACTCGGGACCACCACCGAAGCGACGACGGGTCCTGCAGAGAACGTAGGCAGAACCGACGCAGCGTCTGTAGGTACGCTGCATTTGATTTACTAATCGCGTGCTTGCACGCTAAGTCTATTTATTTCAGGTGGTGGGTTTGCAATTTTGTCCTAACGCTTATATTTCTCGTGTTAATGTCTACCTGTACTATCTTCAATAAACTCGCACAAGTCTGAAGCTAAGTGTACTTAATTTGAGAACATTTTCGCGTTTGTGGCAGTTTCTTAAAATATATTTTCTGACCACTTGAACTTATGGCGGATTCGTCCGTATCCAATAATTTTTATACCACCATTAAGTGAAGAGTTATGTCTCCGTACCTGTAGGCATTATCCGATTTATTTTTTTCATCTTGTCGTTTTAAGTAATTGGCTGTTGTTTGGTATCCCCGGTGTGGCTGCGCTTGATGTGCATGTTGACAAGTTGCCTACCTGTCTATTACCCACTACCTCGTCCATACTGGCTCCAGGAGACAGTTGGTCGTTGCTGGAGGAGACGGGGTGCACGGTCCTTGTGGCCGTGTTAGGATCGAAGAGTGGTTCCATGCACTCAGTGTGGAGTGGACTACGGTTCAGCCACCGCCTTGTGTGCGAGTGATTCTTAAATACAGCGTGGTTGGATTTGTCTGTGAAGGAGTGTGGGCCGGCTTCGTTGATGGAACGTGGCTCCCATCCACATGCCTCCTGGTCTTATTCCTTCAGGTTTACACTGGATATGTGGTGTGTGTGGATGAAACTGTGAGTAGTGCAGCGCAAGCCACCCATGGTCCCTCTGTAGGCGCAGGCGTCCTGTGGCTGGCCACAGTGACAGGCAAATCCGAAACCGGATGCCGCCAACCATGTCGTGAAGAGAGGGATGTGTGGGAAATGTTGAGAGTAAAAACGCGGTGCGTTCGGAAAATCAGGCTGCGGGTCTGAAAAAAAGCAGAAAGACTACCGGACTCAGTAGTATGCACGTTAGTCGCTAAGGTGGGGCGAACGGTGAACGCAGGAGCCACATCGAATTGAAAACGTCCTGGTCACCATGGATATCTCGGCACTCATAGTATTGCACATGTCAATCAGTGCTAAAGACTGGTCTCCATTCGGGCACGATCACCTGCTTAGAGATATATGACTGTGGTGTTTCTTAGAATTCGACACATCTTTGCATTGGTTTAGGGAATAAATTTAATGACTGTCGTCAAACATATGCAGCATCTGAGAGGTAATACCGTAATCAACTCAAGATCTCTATTCACGACCAGCTTTGCTGCTGGAGACTGACACCAATGAGCGTTACAATATTAAAGCCGAACATCTGTGTGGAAATAAGTGCTGGACTCCAGTTTGTATTCCGCCTAGGTTGAGGAAACGCATGCTGGTAGGTAATCGGTGCCGGATAGAGTGGATGTATGCGAAGGGATAATACAAAACGCTTGACCTGATGAAAAGTAGATGTGACCAAAGTGAGTCTTCTGGGTTCCCCGAAAGTGACAAGGTAGCTATTAATCACGTCCTCAACGCACACTGAGGAAGAGCTGACATTAGGTGGCCTCCCGGAAAAGTGGCCATGGCAGAAATGCGGAGCGTTACGGATCCCATGAAACATGATTCACTACTGAATGATACGGACTCAACGCTGTGTAAGTTTCTAAGGCGAATGTAACGCTGAATTCTAAGTGAGGCGTGAGTTGGCCTAGTGTGTTGTCACCAGAACTGCCGGCCTAAGTCGCATCATACGAAAAAATAAATGATTTCATTAAAACATAAATTCTCACTAACCAGTAGATGCCAAATCGATTGACGGATGTAAACGCTTCAAGGCTAGTTTGTGTGACTCTAGGCGACGCGCACCTCTGTAGTAGTTGAGAACAAGCACCAACGGCAATTCGGAAACAACTAAAGTAGAAAATATTTGGTTTAGCGCACTTGATATTGGTTACATAGGCCAATGAACGAACCGTGAAAATCGAACTTTCTAATACTGTCGGAAGTTGTCCAGAAATCTGAAATGCTTTCTGCTGGCGTATCGCACTAACGCAAGGCGAGGGAAGGTTCATTTTGGTGCATCGACCCAAACTCAAGGCATAAGAGAAGAAGTTAAGGTTCCAGTCCGCATATGACGACGTTCCATGAAAGCAGAGGATGAGCGATGCAGGGCGCATGATGAAAAGACATGCATTTAAGTGAAGTGGTGAACGATGTGTCAGGCAACACCAACACAAGTGATGCATATCAGGTGTGCCCAAGTGAAGTAAAAGATGAGGGTGATTAGGTGCGAGCAGACTACTCATGTCTATGCACCAGATGACAATCGAGACCTTGTTTGTAACAAAATAATTCGTTATCAAGAGACCAAAGTAAAAAAAAACTGTGCGACTTCAGTCATGACCGTGGAATAGGCTGACAGTATCCATGCCAAGGAAAGTCAGCAGCCTAACCTGTTTAATCGGAAAGCTATTTCAAAGAACGGGTGTTCCACTTACCCAGCAAGCCAGTAAAAGATCGAACCATCGGCGCTCCCGCTTGCAAACAGGCATTCATGAAATGGATGCCATGCAACGCGCATGACGTCTCGTTTGTGACCACGGAAAGTCTGAAGTTCCGACTTCAAGTTTCGGAGATCAAAGAGCTTGATAAGATGGTCGCGTGATGCGGTTAAAAACCAATTGCCATTATCGTTCCAGGAGACGTCTGTGCATGTGTTTTTGTGGATGTACCTGAGAGGAGGCAGTGGGCAATGGCAAATGATATCAAACGTCCCTGATTTCGTGGATACAAGCGGCAACGGAAAACATGAAAACACATATCCATCAGTAACATTTTAGGATATAACAGACGGTGTGTACGTGAGAATAGCGGACGCAGATACAGGTCGACTCTGTGGGTGACTATGAACAAAGGCGGAGCTGTGGTGCAATAGTGGCATACAAAAGGAAATAACCGCTTGTGTCGAAATGAGTTGAACATAAATGACACAACTGTAGCCGCCTTGGTTGGTGCACTCATGCTATTGAAAAAAAAACCAAAATTCCTATATGTGAAAGGATGCGAAAATGTAGTCTGGTCGGATGGTTGGAGTACCAATTAGATGCAATCCAACAGCATCAAACAGTGAAAAAGAATGCTAATAGAAAGTGAAGAGTTCAGAAGTTGATCGCGATGGCTGAGGTCGAAATATGCGTATAGTGGCGTAGATCGAGCAGAGTGAGGGATTGCGGCAAGCTGACGTCGCCATACAAAATGCAGCATTGTATGACAGGGATGCGCACTGTCACCATTCCTCTTCAACTCTGCTACTGAGGGATTCATGGAGATCGCGTTCACTGGACACCAGTTAGAAGAGGTGGAGCTCCTCCCAGGTGAGCGACCTCTTAACTCACAGTATGCCGACGACGTTGCATCATCTGCGACAGTTAAATGAAATGCCAAGCAGCACTACACAGAGTAACACTGCATGTCTACCGTTTCGGGCTTTGTTTTGCATCCTCTAAGTGCATAGCTTTACTACAAGATTAACAGCGACCGCCTCCTGTACTGACACTGGGTAGGAGGTCCTTCAGAAATTCAGCCATCTAGGGAGCTGTATCAGGGTCTCTGGAATCGAAGATGACGTCACGAACCGTATAGCAAAAAGTAGAGGCGCTTTTGCTTACCTTCGCCACTTATGGCGCCAGCGCAATATCACCCTCTGAAGAGTAGAGTAAGCATTGTAGCCGCAAGTTCGACCCTACTGTACGGTTATGAAACTTGGCCTATTAGATCAGCAGACGTAAAAAAAACTATTTACATTCAACCACCGCAGTTTGGCTCATATCTGGTGGGAACACACAACGAGCAATGAGCGTGTTCGACGCCTTGTTCATGGCACAGGGATAAAAAGTGAACCGGTCGGCACTGTACTACCACGCACCAGGCTCCGATCATTGCACCAAGTGTTGCGTATGCCATCAAGCCGACATCAGAGACATGCGTCGCATACGCAACCAGGGTGGATGCAAGAGGAAAAGCTAACCAACGAAAAGGTCAGAAGGAATGAAGACCCAGAATTCGAAGTTAGGCCCAGTTGGATCCCCTCGACTGCCTGGCTTGGGCAAGAAAGACGATGAACGCGTTTGGTTGAATATACTTGTGGACATGGCTAGAAGCCGACCTCAGTGGCATTTGTGCCGTTTCTGACTCTCCCACTCCAATCACGATCGCATTACTGAAGCATAATATAACATTTTTGCGACACAACAGCGGGCGGCTGTCTCCGGAACGATACCCATTCGTTACTGATGGCTCAGCTGGCGTGACTCTGTTGCGTCTGTTTATTTTTCTCGGTCTCGTGTATTGCGACACAATGGCTGGGGTGTTTTCCACCTCTAGCTAACATGTATAATGGTGATGACGCCGAGGCTGAGAGACTACCACGGGTGTTAGACCAGGTAAATTTGGAATAACTTAGTGAAGTGGCAAACAAACATTTATCGAAAAGCTGTCCAAAACTTTCACGTTTGATATTGTTCAATACGTGCATCAGTTGGCGCCAACCTAATACTGAACAGTGCTCGTCAGGCACTTGAGCCCGACACAGACTGACATCGTCTACACACTCTGGGTTCGATCGTCTGTGTCGATTCGCTGCAGAACATGTCTATGGATAAACACTATTGTGTACCAGTTAATCTGTTGATGGAAGTTCTGACCACACATTATCAGCGGAATTGGTGCAGTAGGTTGAGTGCAAAATTCGCACCAAAAACTGTGATCTTTACCTAAGAGAGGATATAATAGTTCAGAGCACAGGGAATTTGGAAAGCGGGGTGATGGGAGTAAAGGTCAATGACTGACTGATCAGTGGGGTTACCAAAACATACCGTAACTTGCATACATCCGAGGTCAGGGCAGAAAAGGGCATAAAAGTAACGTCAGAATGAAACTAAACCGTATAGCCACTACACGGACAGGCATGAACTGGACACTTTTTCGACGTTTTTGGAGCGCAATGGCACGGGCCAAATCATATGACCCAGTGTGGCTTTGACCAACCCCATCAGCTTGTGAGCAATCGGCCTAAATTGCTGGGTCACGAATGAAAATGGTGGATGATGCAATTGAATTGACAGATATGCAGTAGCACAGTGCCGTATTAATGAGTGGGTAGAATGGAATGCAGTAGCAAACAAGGTACAAAACAGGTCCACTTGGTGAACGCCGCATTACCGGTAGCGAACAAAGAGTGGTGTCAAAAGCCGGTGCCCTATATAAAGCAACACACAGGGTAAGGGTTAAACATTTGTGTACATCGACCACTAGACGACGTCATAAAGAGAATAGGAGGTGAAAAACAAATGAAACCCATATGTTCACACTTGAACATAAAAAAACAAAAACTGAAAAACGCAATGTTGCAATTTGGAGAAAATTGTTGACACCAGCGTGAATACCAAGTAGGGAAAATAACGAAGGGCAAAACACAACGCATACTAAACGCAGTGCTTTCGAGAAAGTTCTCAACAAGTAGTAAGCCCCCTATGAATTTTGGGAATGAAACCGAGCGGGGCGCCTTAATAGTCGAGCACGTTGTTCAGGAGATTCATTGCAGCTATACTCAACATGACAGCCGCCACCCATCCAGGAGAGCGCTAGTCAGTCGTTTCGTTTTATTAGAACTCGTCAGTAGAGCGTGTCCGTTGAGTATTGCCGCACCTTACGAGTTAGCGAGTCATGCCATCGAGTCATGACGACGAACCGCCATGGCTGATATCTATAGTGCTTCTCATCCTCCACTGTCATTCATGCTATGGTCTGACGAGTACCCGCAAGATGAAACGGCCATCTAGCGCTTTCCAGGTTGTTTTATGGCTATTTGAGTCTAGTTGCGACGGATCTTTTCAAAAACAACAAATTCCCCTGCTAGTCTCGAGCATACTTGAAGGGAAAACGGACAACGTGCGACCTAGGATTGTGTACTGGGGTCAGGCCAAGCGAACACCTACGCACACACAACACAGGGGCGAATCGACAGCATGGATGAGCATGCGGGCAATTAGTGAGATCCGGTGCACACCGACAGTGTGGGCGGGCATGTGAATGGCCGTGAGCAGATGACCAAATACGCTGCAATGTAGTCAATACGCCAAGCAGAACACGATCAAAACGGTTGAGGCCAATGTGAAGACGACCAGAGAACCAGGTTGCTCATGTGAAAATATATGCTTGACCTAGAACTAGTCGATAACGCCGTATAGACGTAGTCAGCTGAGTTTTGGTTTTCAATTTTCTCCCGGCTGAAATGGAGTGCCCAGTGTGAGCACGCCTGGGACTCAACTTAATGACCCGAGTGGATAAGGAAATGGGGGGGGGAAGATCAAAAGTAATTCATAAAGATTGCCCCGTACGATGCGTAACAGAAAGGCGGATTACCAGAGAATGTAATGAGGGTTCAAATGGTGAAATAGATGGTGAAGTACCGACAGAATATTATAATGTTTTGATAATCCGAATTAACGTAAGTTTTGGATCCCAATTTACTGCAAAATATGCGAAAAGAATGCGTGCTGAAGAAGCTGAAGCGACGAAAGATAGAAAATCAAGCATGTTTTCTACCAGAATGCAGCACCAGGCTATCACTGTCACCATTATACATACTTGTTACAACCAATAAACAATTAAGCAATTGCATTGTAATACAATACAATTACATCGTCGCAAAAGGAATGAAAAATCGAAAAAACAGCGTTGTGCTTCGTTTTACTAGGCATGGAGAATGAAATTGTGATTAGGAAGGGGACAGACAAAGCGAGATGGAAAGGGACCAAAGAAGCGCATAACTTAAACGCCACTGAGGTCGATACCGAGCTATGCCAATAAATGTAGCCAACGAAACGAGTTCAATATCTTTCGCATCCCGATGCAGGAAATAGTAGGCGAGACAGAGTTCGAAGTGAAAGCCTTCATTCGCCTTCCGTCCAAACCCTAGTCGCGGTAGCCGGTGTGCTGACATTCGTAACATATGACCCATCTATCGGAGCCTGGTGTGACATGTAACGGTACTGAGCTCTTCACTTGCTTTTTCTGCGTCATAAACAAGGCGAGGAACGCGCACACTGCTGATGCGGTGTTCCCACCAAACCTGAGCTAAGATGCGGAGAAAGCAGTTGCCGAGCTTAACAAGCCTCCTTACATCTATCGCTCTGAATAGACCAGCAGTGGAGCCGAGCGGATCCCTCCATCGTAAACTATTCGTCAGAGTGCCGATGATGACGCATCGATGCTACTGATGCTATGGCCTGAAGCGAGTTAGTGAACCAATGGCGCTCCTGCGTCAGAAGTAATGAAGGCACGCCATGCGAGTCGGCTAATCGGTATGACAAAGCTCCGAATATTTTTCGGTGTCGGCAAAAGTATTTAACTGATCGAGAACCTACATAAGTTCCGCGTAGTCAATGACGGACTGTGGGTGTACATGAGTAACTGGACCAGATTTAGAAAAAAAACTGGGATTAAATGAGGAAAGAAACGTCATAGTACGCTGCAACCGAAAGAAGTGAGAAAATTTCTGAGGAAAACAAAACAGATGTTAACAGCTACTATGTGCATAGGTCCTTTTGGCAAGCGATTGTAAACGAGACAAGCCCTATCGGCAAAAGCTCATCTGGATGATAACAAGATTGTGTGCATTAAATGGAAATACTAACAGTCAGCAAACAGCAACATGAGGGAGTGAACTCACAGCGTAATCACCGACTCGCCCGTCTTTGGATCCCAGAGTTTGATTGGTTGCTGGGCATCCTTGCTGCCCGATATGAGAAGTGAGAGAGTGGGATGCCATGCGACACTGCGCACATCTGATCCATGACCTGAGTGGGAAGGAGAGTGGAGGTAATGTGATTGAGCATCTTGTCAAGAAACGTTGGACAGGGTTGTATAGATGGGAGGATGGTGCTAGATGGTAAATAAGTGGAGGAGGGGGGGGAGCTTAACACTTTATTAGGAGCACACGCTCGACAACTGACGAAATGCGTGAGGCACAAAATTTCCGGAAAACGTCAAATCGTAAACACAGGTTAGACGAAAAATGGATCGACGGTTGTGATGCAGTTGGCTAATGCTACCACCCTGGCGAATTGGAGTGTTTCAAGAAGGTTATATCTCATCCTGGATATGTTCAGACTAAGCTGAGACCGGGTAACATTGGCGGATGCAGAAAGTGGGGCAGATACGACGCGAACCAAGAAAAACTAAAATGAGCATCGAGGTTTTTAGGGTTAGAGCATAAAGCCAGGGGAGCGTGACCAGATTCCGAAGTGTATGTCGACAAGTAGTATAATGAAAAACATATCTGATAACCATGGAAACAAGCGAATGACCCGTGCTCCAATGTAATAGGATGACTGCATGGGATCGACGCCAACTGGAATAGATTGCAAGAACAAAAGCGATCAAAAGCCACGAACACCGTAACCGGGAACTGCAAGGCAAAATGGTCTTCGCTAAGTGTGAAAGAACATCAGCAATGGTGTGGCCTTAGAGCGATCGAGACTGAGAGACTCATAATACAAAAATCCCTTCAATAAAAAACATGCAACAGTTGTCTGTCCTAAACTCCATTTCTGTTCGTATTGATTAATAATTCACCGTAACACATCTCAAAGCGCGCTAGTGCGTAGTTTAAAATCACTCTGAGTAGAAAACGGAAATTGTCCACAGAATGGGAATAGGAGGAAGTGAATGTTAACCATGTCATTCTAAACAAGTATTTGCTCCGTGGACTGAACAAGGAGACCTAGTGTTGTAGTAAAAAATATGAGCATCTGGACCCCGTCGTATGAGTTGCGCGTGCCGGCAATCAACAAACAAGTAGGGAACATCCGGGGAGCGTGCGTGTAATTAGCAGCTGGAGAAACGTAAGGTGGAGAGTGCATGTGGCTATGCGGAGTTTGGAAGACAGAAAAACTTGAGCGAGTTTACAGCACAAGTTGAACAGATGTTGATGCGAAAAATAGGTGCAAACAACATTGTCGGTACAAAGTCAGGCAACATGACAGACTGGCAGATTAAAGTTAACACTCTAGTCACACAGCTGGATCGATAGACGCGATACTAGAGGAGCGGATAAAAAAACAAATGGATTCGTATGAACCTCACCTGATTTGAGCTCAACTCATTCATTGACCATGGTATTGTCAACAAGTCCAGGATCGAGATTTCTATATCCATGTGGAGCACATGGGCTGGATGACTTGTCAGAAGCTACAGTGATGCACATCCAATATTTATTAAAATGAACCAAAAAGAAGACAAACAGTGTTGCTGGTACCGTCGGAAAGCTTTCTGGAAGCTGGAATCTAGCCGATGAGGTGGGAGTCCTAGTAAGTTACCACATGTAAATTAACGGAGACAAACTAAATCAGCTGAATTGACGCAGGTGATGCAGAAACCGAGCGGAGATAAATCAGGTGAGTTATTTGGGGCAGGGTTATGGGCAGTATAAAGGTGAAGTGAATCAACTAGAAGCCATTTGATCGGAGGGTAAGAATGATACTAGGCTAAATATCCAGGAAGTGCTGAGTGCAAACTATAAATGGCGAATAGAAAAAAGAAAAATAGTCAATGTCATCCGATCGCAATATGTTGCTCCATGACCGATTTTGTGATTGTTTGCGGTCGTCAGGTAAGGAGAGCAGTATCACTTCGAATCGCATTCGGGACTGCTAGTCAATGCCTTATATTCCGAGCTACGGACAACCCTCGTTAAATAGGGTATTGACGCTGAGTGGTCGTTTCGCAACACTCATGTGAATTAACTACAAAATGAAATCTCAAGCTGAATTGTGATGCGCTTTGAAGTGAACCCGATAAATTCCGTCAGTGGGATTATGTCTGAAGTAGCAGATAAAGGTTGAGTGCTGCTTCCTCACTCGCGACGATGCGCTCCAAGATCGGTTTTGTAATCGTTGACTGTCGACAGGATTGAGTGTCGCTATAGATTCACGTAACGAGTGCTTCAAAACGACCTCGGTAGTGGAACAGCATGGCTTCCGTCAACACCGGTCATGCACCACCAACCTACTTATTGCTCGAGGTAGTTGGACGGAAGTGGCCGATGATGGGGTCAGAGTCGACGTCATCTATCTGGACTTTTCCAAAGCTTTCGACCGCCTCGATCACCGCATCCTACTTCAACGGGTTCAGAGTTACGGAATCGGAGATCCTGTACTTGGTTGGATTGGCAACTTCCTTTACCAACGAAAGCTCCAAGTACGTGTTAGGGGATCACTTTCTAACACAATTGAGGTGAAATGTGGTGTCCCACAAGGCTCAGTGCTGGGACCGCGTTTATTCCTGGTGTTTATCAACGACCTGGCAAGGGTCATCTCCTCAAATTTCCTGCTTTTCGCCGATGATGTCAAGATATGGCGGGCGATTGGTAACAAGTCCGATCAGGATCTGCTCCAACATGACTTAGATCGCATTTACGAATGGTCAAGGAGGAACATGCTTCAATTGAACATAGCTAAGTGCAATTGATGCATCTGCGTCACCAGCTGGTGAGCGCCTACAAGATTGGAGATCACACCTTGGCAAAGGTTTCTCATGAGCGGGACCTGGGTGTATTGGTACAGGAAGATCTCGGGTGTTCCAAACAAGCAGAGAAGGCGAGGAGAACCGGAAATCAACACTTCGGCCTTCTTCGCAGAGCCTTCGGTCGGTTTGAACCATCAATATTTCCCCAAATGCTTAACGCCTACGTGCGCCCGCATGTGGAATATGCTATTCAGGCGTGGCAGCCGTGACAGAAACAGGATCTCATTGCTCTCGAGACTCCTCAACGACGGGCAACCAAGAACGTCAGGGGCCGCTTTCATCTGCCCTATCAGCTTAGACTGAAATCTCTAAGAATGTACAGCAGTCGATATCGGCTTTTGCGGGGGGATCTCATAATGGTTTACCAGATTCTGAAGAACCCAAACCACATTTGCCGTCCGCTGCTGGAATTGAACCACAACATTAAACTAAGAGGTCACCCTATGAAACTGACAATTCATTATAGCCGGCTTGAATGCCGTAGAAATTTCTTTTCTCTCCGCGTGTGTGAGCCTTGGAATGCCCTCCCTAATTATGTCGTCTCTGCTCCCAATCTGGCGATATTTAAAAAACGTGTTGACGATGCGTTGTCTCACTTACATTTCCTTTTATGACTTGTTAGCCAGGGGCTACAAAATGCAATCAAACGGTTTCCTGCCAAACGCTCAACCATTGGATATACGGATTTTTATGTTTAATACGCGAACATCTCCGCTATTTCACATAAGTCTATGGTGAGTCCACCACAACGCTTTTCACTTTATTATGCAATTTATTTTCGCATTAATTTTCATCCCACGGGACTTGTTAAGCGATGCTTCTTTACCCGTAATAAACCATTGTCCATTGTCCAACATATCGAGTAATTCCGACAGTCGTCGAAGGCCGGGTCGAGAGACAAGGGTAGCCCAGAATTCAAAAAAATTGATGCAAGTGAAGATCTAGAAGTCAAATTGATAAATGTCAATTGAAATACAGTTCAAGATAACCATGAACAAAAGAATAATGATGACGCAAAATCCAAGGAGAACGTAATTTGATGTCCCCACTTCTCACGACTGGGAAGAAGCTTTGATATGCTGGCCAGGAAGTTCCGGATAGAACAGAAACGTTTCCAGTTCACATTGCTCCCAGAGTGGACTATATGCATTCCCGATTCAAAAAATAAGGGGAAAAAATGCCTATTTGTGGAGGGATTTATTGCAGTGAATAAAAGTAAATTTTGTTAATATTCTCTTAACAAGTGATTTACTCTACTGTTGGTCACGAGACATTCTAATTAATAGTGAGTACTTGACAGTAGGAATAATATACTGACCAGTACGGGATAAGTTGTAATCTATTTTCTATGGGAACGAAATTAAGAGCTGTTATTTGCTTAGATTCCAGTAAAGGGGAATCGCGCCGCAGTAAAACGCACGCGAAGAAGGATCAGAAATCACGCAATACAGCGGACAATTGAAAATGACTGAATGGACTCCCAAACGACGCTTCCTAAACACAGTTCCAGTAGTCGGAGCGGACGCATGAACAACCTACATGTTACCACCGGTAAGAAATATTCGACCCAACTTCTAGCAATGGAACAGATTGATAGTTACCGCAGTGAAAGCAGCTGGGTGAATGGTATGCACGCAACTGACGTAAGCCGATTGATACCAATTCGTCTGTGCAATTAATTTTGAGCGATGGGGCACAGATCACAGTGAGTCCTGACTCAACATAATGACAAGAGGGAGTGTGTGGGAGAGAGAAACAAAGGGAGCATGACAAAACGGTCAAGGGAGAAAGATGAGTGCATGGATGCCAATGACTTGGGCATTACATCAGAAGGATTGCGACTTTTGATGCTGCGGGACCCGATGACACCAACAAAGTTGGCATGCAGTAATCCAACCCAATTAAGTGAGTCCGTCAGGTTATTTTTATGCGTCCATTTCATCGATCAACCATCTTGGAATTGCATCCGAAAAACTGCCGTGCCAGAAAGCATTACAAGCCGTTAGATGTGTGATGGGCACAACGAAACCAACACAGATCAACAAGAAATCCAGTGCTGCAATGGTGAGATTGTGACAAACAAAAGCTAGCGGACTTAAGCGATACTCAGAAGGTACTCCACTAGATAGGAGGAACTCTTGATGTGCACTAGTCTCCAAGTGTCTCTAAATGCATGGAACAAAGCTTGACGCACAATAGTCGAGCGAGAGATCAACATATGGATGTCTCCGTAGAAGAATTAGCCTTAAAAACGAAGTCACGACAGATTTCA